AAGAGTGACTCTGAGTCAGTGGATCAGTGCTCTCCACAGTGACCAGGAGTGGGGATGCTAGCGGGTGGAGGCAGAGAGGATCCCAGAGTTAAGTATGGCTGAGACACCTGCAGTCCATCATCAGGCCTCCCATGGAGCAAGCGCGGGTAGAGGCCATGGCAGTTAAGGGGGCAATTCCAGTGAAGATGAGAAACCAAAAAAAAAACTCATAGTCGGAGGCCCAGTGGACTTAAACAAAAAAATTAGGCCACTTATGAACTGCACAACCTTGAAAAAGTCCTTATAACCTTTTTGAAGAGGTAAAGGGATACATTTTTTTAAAAACCTACTAGCCAGTGTATATATTTGTCTCATTCAATTGTTAGTCACCACCATGTGAGGTAACTCCATTTTAGAGACTGTGAACTTGAAATTCAGATAGGTAAATTTCTACAAGGTGACATTACAAGGGGACGATAGAACAAGGGTTGAACCTATGTGTGTCTGACTTCAAAATTGACCCCTTACAAGACACAGCCAACCCAGGGTCCAAACTCTGATTCCAAAGTCCATGCTTTCTCAAATGTAGTACACATACTAATTCCTACCCTGACCAACTCAGGGTCATTGTGAGTCTTAAGACTGTGCACGCAAAAGTGCTCCATAAATCATCCAAGGCTGTACTGGTAGTATTAATCAGAGCAAAGGGCTTCAGGCTCCAGACGGTCAGGTGTGGCTAAAGGTAAACGACTTCCCAACAGCTGCCAGTGCGGGCCTAGGAGACCGGGACCCATTTCCTCCAGCCTGTCAGTAACCAGTAGCAAGGAAAGATGGGAACAAGCTCTTTGCCTTTGACTTCCCACAGGGAGCAGTTTAAGATAGTTCATCCACCCCCTCACAGGGTCCATCTGCTAAGATGTGAGTGGATGGGGCCATATTAATGGATGAGCCTGATGGTCTGCATGCTGCCCCGTTTCCTGGGGGACAGCAGAACTGTGTTGTGCAGTCACCGGGGACCAGGCTGCACAGGAACTGTCAGTATGTGGGCTGTGCATCAGGGACCCTCTGCTGGTGCCTCCATCCCTGCTGGCCCTAGGAAGAGCACATGGACCTGGTCCTCCAGGCAAGAGCGCTAGGCAGCCCACCCCGAGCCAGGCCCTGATCAGAAAGGTGAAAAGAACCAGAGCTCACCTGACGTTGGCTTTGTCCACTCCCATACCAAAACTAATGGTTGCAACAATTACAGGGACCTTCTCCTCCATCCACTCATTCTGCACCAGTGTTCTTTCAGAAGCCTTCAGACCTATAAAGGAGGGGAAGTTGGGGAAGGGAACTCATATTTCCCTTGGATTTCCCTTGGGCCTACCTTGGGTTCGACACTGTGTTGGGCACTGTACACATGCCCTAAACCCATCACTTATCAGCTGTGTGAGACCTTGGGCCGAGCACTTAACCTCCCTGAGCCTGAGCTAATAAACATAAGTGTGGCAAAGAGCACTCAATGAATGTTAGAGCCAAGGTTCAAACCCAAATCCACTGGCCTCCAAAGCCTGGGCTTATAAAAACCCATCCCTTGCTGCTGCTGTGGGCACTGAGTGATAAAAAGAATTTCATAGTTACAATTCTCATTTTAGACCTCATTCATGTCTAGACTCCTTTCTGTGGATTTAAGTGCATCATATTAGCTCTCTCTGGGCATCTATAAGAGATGACAGACAACCTGACTATCCAGGATCCACAGAAACAAGAGACTAAGAGGCCTCTGAGAGTGAAGAGCACCGCGAGGCCTGGGCAGCCCTTACCTGCATGGTAAGCCTTGGCGTTCACTCCCCTGTAACTGAGCTCTATCGCCAGCTGTTCACAAGCCTCTCTGGTCCTGCAGTAGACAATGCCGCAGCCAGACAACTGAATGGGAAGATGGGAACAACAGGGAGGAAATAAGTACTGAGAAACACAAAACAGTCAGCCCGTCATACTGCGGCCTGCTTTAAAAGCAGCTCCGCACACTCTTCATCAGCCTCGCAGTCTCTTCTGAGGCAGTCTGCCCAGCAGGGCTCTGCCACTTTCTAACAAAGCAGGACCAAAGCAGCTCAAAATCCAACCTAACTCTTCTGCTTCCTCCCCTCAAACCTTGGATAGGTCTGCAAAGGCCACTGTCAGAGGGGCCGGCTGCTTGACTTCCACAGAAGGATTCCAGGACAGGGGAACCCTAATGAGGGGAACAATGCCAGAAGCCAAAGGGATGACTCTCTGTGCTTTAAGAAGCTATGGCCAGTTTTGCCTAAAGCTATGAAAAGCAAAGGTCTTAGAAAACCAATATCCATCTCTGTGCTACAGAGAGTACCCCAGTGCTCCAGATGCACCTTGGCCCCCAACCTCAGTGCCCTCACCCGTTTATCAGCCTTCTGTCCAAGAGCCTTAATGCAGAAGTCCCGCAGGTTCCCGAAGGGATCAAAGAGCAGTTCCTTGAACTGTACATCGTAGAAGAGGTTGGCCCGGAAGCAGGGAGTCTTGAAGGCAGCAACTGGTTGCTTGAGGTGCAGAGCAGCAAACACATCCTCCTGGACCTGCGGGGTGGCGGTGGCAGTCAGAGCCACACATGGAGCGTGTGCCAGGCGGGAACGCAGGGCACCCAGACGCAAGTAGTCAGGACGGAAGTCGTGCCCCCACTGGGAAACACAATGAGCTTCATCCACAACCAGGTAGGAGAGCAAGCGGCGGGACACAAGGGAGTTCAGGGTGGGCTGGAAGGAGGCTGCAGCTGCCATCTCCGGGGTGATATACAGGAGTTTGGTCCGGGGCTTTTCTTGCTCCAAGTCAGAGAGCAGCTCCTTCTTCTCCTGGGCCGAGAGCTTCGAGTTCAGGGAACTCACTTGGACCTTCAAGGCCAGCAAGTGGTCCACTTGGTCCTGAGGGCAGAGGAAGAGAGGCCACAGATGGGATGATAAGTGGCCCTCAGGATCTCAGACAGTCATTGTGACTGCTGGGGTACTGCCCAGTCATAAAGCATCCTCCCACCCTCCAGTGTGTCTTCTCTTTGCACATAAGAAGTACTGAAGATGAAGTGGTTGAGAGGAAGGCTTGAGAGCCAGACAGATCTGGATTAATCCCGGCTCACCTAATCGCTACATGCTCTTCGGCCAGTTCTTAACCTTAACCTTTCAATTTTCTCATTCTCTTTCTCTCTCTCTACTATAAAAATAGTAACTACCTAATAGAAGTGTCGTAAGAATTAAAATTTTCATCTCAAAGGTAAAATTAATGCACATAGAACACTTTGCACAAAGCCTAAGATCTAGTGAACACTCACTGAGCACTGCCATTGTTCTTTCCTGCTTCTCTCTTTCTTTCTTCATGGCTGACAGCTCTTAACTATGTGGCTAAGCTTCCTCATTTTTGACTCTATCAGCCCATCTGCAGGCCTTAAATATAGTCAGAAGTGCAGAGCAGATGTTAACACTACCCCAATCAGTCTCTCATCTCATTTTTCTTGTGTCATAGCTGCACTTTTGCCAGAAGAAATCAGGACAGCAGAGATTCCCCAAATCGATTTAGCTCTCTATGCATCTGCATCTTCTACCCCGTCAAGAGGGCATATGTGTACTTATGGGAGTAAGTGTGCATGTGTATACAGATACAGTTCCATACTCTTCTGGACAAAAAGTAACAAAGGAAGGTAAAAAACCCCAGGCCTTCAAAATACAAAAAAACTCATGCATAACCCATAGAGTGCTATGTACTAGTGGGAAAGCCCAGGTTTGGGCAATTCAGAAACCCAATATAGAGAGGAAAATAAGTGAATCAACGAAAATAAGAGGCAAAAGACCAAAGAAAGCAGAAGTGAAATTTCCTGCTATAAACCACCTTTCCCTCAACCTTGTGGGCCACCATCTTCATCCCCCTAAGCCTCACCTGAATCAAAGCAATGAGAGGAGAGACTACGACAGTGATGCCTTTGGTCAACAGAGCAGGAAGCTGATAGCAGAGGGATTTTCCTGCCCCTGTGGGCATGCACACGAAGACATCCTTGTCGCCTGCAAAAATACAAGACAACATCTCAATGCTTCCTGCCTTTTACCTCTTTCCTTCATCAAGGCTGTTGAAAATTAAATGAGAATGTAGGAAAAGCCCCTAGCAGAGTGTCTGGCACATGGCGGACGGTGGGGGGTCAGGGGGAGGGGTGTCTCAATATAATCTTAATTCCCCTTCCAGCCTTTCTACGAAAAGGGATCCAGGGAGATTTGGAAATGTGCACAGACCATTTCCAGAAATGCAATAACAACTATAAGGTTTAGAAGGCTGAGTCTGCTGGGATATGGATAATCGAACTAAACAGCCATGAAAGCTGAATACTTCTAGACAAATGGGAACATCTGTGTAGACATGGAAGCTACATCACTTAGAGATCTTTTGTTTATGAATGTTACAATGTAATTAATATTACACTGCTGCTCCCTTCTTGGCAACCTCTGTTTGTCAATGTATCTCAGATTTATATTATTATTACTCCTTCCTTCCCTGTTTGGGACCCAGGCTACTCAATCTTTAACAAAGGGATTACCTAGGTCAGTGACTGGGTTAGGCTATGACTGCCACCCCCACACAAAAGAACTAGAATGAGAATCTATGAATTGTTTTCCTGGGCGGCCCACAGCCGGCCCACAGCCGGCTCAGACAATCTGAGCTCTAGCTACGAAATGTAAGAAAGAGAACCGCTGGGTGGTTCTGTCAATAAAACTGCAAGTTTTGGGTGATAAGCCTACAAGATTTCCCAAACCAATTACGGACCAAGGGTAGGGGAGTAGGAAGAGTCAGAAGAAGGGTGTTCTACAGCACTGCTATGGTAGAGTCTGCAAAAAATGTAAACACAGGTGGTTTGGCAATGTTACCTTTCACTACAGCCATGGTTGCACTCTCCTGTAAAGGTGTCTTAAAAGAGTCAAACCCGAAGACCTTCTTCAACGTGCTCTGGACACGATGCTCACGGTCAAAAGGAAAGGAATGGTGGGTGCTCATCTTAGCGACAGAAGGTGGCCAAAGGTTAAGGCAAAGGTTATGAGCATATGGCTACCACAAGAACCCTCTATTCCACTTTTTAAATAATTGCTTATTTTTTCTCTATGAGTATAACTTGCTTTATTACACTTAAGCAATAATATTATTTTCAAGTAATATAGCTCCAGGTGAATTTCAAGTAATATAGTTCCAAGTGAACGGCCTCAAGCAATACATTCCTAGGTAATTAACATCTCCACTTTTTTGTCGGTGAAAATACAAACACTGAACTATCCCAGGCCACGGTATATAGCACAGAGCGAAATATCAGATCACGAGAAGAAACACAAATGTCTTCGGAATAGTTTGGAGGTGGAATTGGTTTTTTAAGATCCACCTTCTGCTCCTTCTATAAGCATAGCCATGACAATCATTCTTCCCCCTGCCCAGTACCCCAACTCCTTCCAGCTCCCAGAGGAGAGCTCTTCCCTTCTCCTCTGAGCCCCAAATCCGCTCTTTTCTCCCTCAACCAAAGTTTCTCTCTCTTCACCCCCAAGATATCAGAGCCGGCTGTGGGCCGCCCAGGAGCGAAGGACTCTTGGTGGGCGGTTGACGACTGCTGGCTCGGGAACTACTCGAAGACCCGCGTAAGCCGCCACCAACTCTGAGAAGCCAAAACGCTGGGCATGCCCTGTCAGGAAAAACCCACACAGCTTCGTATCCGTCGCGCAGTGATGACGTTGCGCTAAGGCTAGCGCGAGGGGCGGGGACAGACCCAGAAACGGCCGTTCTGATTGGTTCCCGGCCTGGAACGAGCGCGAGGTCTGCTGGGATCTGAAGTCGGCTTTCCGCTCGGAAGTCCGTCTTTTAGAGTCATCCGAGTGAGCAACGCCCGGGCTGTAGGAATAAGATGGCGGGGAAGAAGAATGTTCTGTCCTCTCTGGCGGTTTACGCAGAAGATTCAGAGCCCGAGTCTGACGGCGAGGCCGGAGTCGAAACGGCAGGCAGCGCGGCTGGTGAGGCCCGAGAAGGGAGCTGGAAGGGGAGAAGCAGGTGTCTCCTCGGAATGCTGCTCCTCTTGCAGGGCGGGAGGGAGAGAGATGGTCATTGTTCCCCAAGTATTCGGCCCCGGAGCCCCGAAGAGAGCTTGGGGTCCCGGGCGAGTCCGAGCATTAGACGCTCTGTGGTAAGAATGGACCATCTCTTTTCGTCGATTCGATTATTATGCGGAAACTTACTCAAAGTCTCCGTGCCCAGCGTCTCGCTGGGC